TTTAGATTATTCGAATTACCCAATTTTATTCTGATATCCAGTTTTTTATTTTATTTATTTATTGTACTCGTTCCTAGTATTAAATGTTTGTTTCAGTTACGTGTTTCTTCTTTTCTTAAAATAAATAGAAAAATTTACCCTAGAGATATTATAAGTTTATAGATTCAAAATTAAAACAGTTACACAATTTTAAAGAATAGTGTTTAGTCATGAAAATGCACTTTGAACCATTTTATGCTAGTGATAGCGAAATATAAATCTGGGACTTAATCATCAAATAAAATATTAACGAAAAAACTAATTAATTAAAAATACATATGGAGTTTCTTTTTACTTGTCCTGCTCTACGTTACATTTTGAATTATAAAAATTTAACGTAGAAAAACAAAAAGATTTAAACGATGTTTCCTCTAATTTTAACTTATAGTATGTTCAGCTCTTTTTATAATTAACAAACACATTTTCAATAGCAATATTTAAATCATTATTACCATTGATTATATCAGGATTTGATGAACTAAAAAAAAAAACGAAATTTGAGTAGAATTATAAATGATTAAGAAACTATGTTATTTTAAAATTTCTTAGAAGCACATTTAAATTTTAAATACTTTGTAAGTATTTAAAAGACAGAATAAAAAAGCAGAATAAGTAATTAATAATCCAAATGTATTAAAATGGTTGAAACAGCATAGACTTATATGTTGTTCTATTTCAGTATATTTGAATTTCTTAAGGTTGGTTCTGCCTTTTTAATCTTTTTTTCACGAAGTTTTTACTAACTTTAATATTTTATAAGTATATTCAATTTATCGCGATGTGTTAAACATAAAAATTTATAAAAATTATTTTGTTAAAATGATTAAGTATTATGCGTTAAACATTTGGCAATAAAAACTACACACCACACAGAAAGGTGTGTTCTAACTCTAAACTTCTCTTTAGTGAGAAATTGTAACTCAAGTCGTTTATTAAACATGCATTCAAAGTTTCGTTAGTAATATAACAGGAGCAATATTTAATTCTGATTTACGATTTATTTTTTCGAAGTCAAAAAACAGTCCAAATTTACGATTTTTTTTTTTCTTTCTTACACTTCAATACTCCCTAGGACCCTCTCTTGAAGAATAGCATCTTTCAACTCAAGACGTAGACGGAGAACACGTGCATGGGGGGCCCTCTTGGGGTCGCCAGCGGGAGGTTACCCCCGCCAAAACACAACTTTCCGACCCCCGTATGAGGGGGAATAACGTCTTGAGGGAGGAGGCGGGATTACTATATTCAGGCAGAGATGCAGGGAAGAAATCTGTTCTTTCTAAAACCTCCCCCTCCCTTCCATTTCATATGCAGAAACTATAATTTGATGCTTTCCAGTGGAGCGTAAACAGATCGTGCATTTATATTTTGGGGGATAAAAACTTAGTCCGAAATGATAAAAGGAAATAAAATAAACTCAGTGTGATAATAAGCACTTGTTCTATTTTATAACCTTAGTCGCTTTTTCATAAACTAATTTTTATTTTTAAATGTGAGTAAAAATATTGATAAGTCGGTCAATCATGGACTACAATCAGCAAATATCGAGTGTTTTGTTTATTTAATTGATTCTATGCTTACTTTTTTAATTTTTGCAAGTTCATAAAACTAGCAAATTTATATGGAAATATACAATGTTACAATAATTTAAATAAGTACTATATTTTGTATATTCGCGTAAGACTGCATGTAGTGTAATTTTTTACAGCTTAGCATCATTTGGTAAGAATAAATTAAATAAGCATTATGTTTTGATTAATTTCTATCAATGACACATAAAATTGATACGTTAAGAACATAAACAGAAACTTTAAATAACAAAGAATAACATCGCTGAAGTGCAAACGGCAAAATTTTGCTTTACAACATAAAGTTTCCTTAAAATATAGAAAAATGTATTTAATAAAAGCAATAATACTTTTTTAAGAAATAAATAAAGTTACGTGTCATTAATTCGAATTTGGCTTTAGCACTAATATTTTATTTTATAAACGGCGTTGAACTACCGACCGAAATCTGAGTTAACAACTATCCACGTTCAATTCCACAGCCTTGTAATTTTTAACCTAACCCAGAAGAAAAGGGAACTCCGGGATCAAGCATTAGAAAAAGCTAGCCTTTGTGATGGCACTCTTAGATGGAACTAAGCCATATTTGCGTTACATAAGAGATGAAAACCACGAAAAACACCCACGGTTATCCCGACAACAGCAAAGGGAATCTAACCCATGATACGTCTAGAACAAGGGATATTTTAGCCGGGTGCAAGATTTATATCGACCAGCCATCGCTGAGATTCGAACCTGGGTCATCTCATTGGGAATCAAGCTCTCCTTTAGCACTATTAATAAGTACAGTGTAGAAAAAAAAGGCGAACCTAATGAATAACCTTTGATCAAATGATCATTAGATCAAAAGCTATTCAAAGTGTTCGCTTTTTTTCAGGCACTATACATGAAATTAAATTACACTACTTTTTAAGAAAGTCAATTTATGGCTCAATTTGATGATTTTGCTTTAGCCCTTCCTGTTGAAATTGGAACGTATTATACCATAATATTGTCCGTAATTTTAGTAATGTGCACCACATTATTTTGCAAATTAATCCTTTTATAACCGAATTACCCAATATTATTGTAGAACATTGAACCCTCTTTAAGCAATTAGAAATTATTCATGATTACGATTTATTTCAGTGCACTGCAAAAAATATTAACATTTAGTACAGTAATTAATGGTATAGTAGCTGGTTATATTGAATCGAAATAATTCATAATCCGCCAAATGAGTTCAATTTGAGATAAATAAATGTAATAATACCATAAATTTATTATCTTCCACTAAATTGTAATAGAATAAATAAATAAATAAAATGAAATAAATAAAATCCCCCTTCCCCCCTGTTAGTTGACATTATTACGGTTAGGACAAAGAAAATACACAATTTATTTCTGATGTAAATCTAATACAAATTTAAGTGTCCCATTAATAGAAAAACAACACATATATATGTTTATAGCATTTTAAACCTTTGAAGCACATAAATGTTTGACAATAGGAGACTCGGGGACATAAAAAGAGGAAATAACCATTTGGGGAGATTTTATGGGCGCCAATAGTTTCACTTTCTAGTAACGATTTCTTTTCTTAAAAGAAATATTTTTTTCTCTAACAAAAGGAACATTTAACGGCCATTTTGTTCCTCTATATGTCTTTTCATGCATGAAATTTAATAAGTCATTCATAAATTTCACACTACATGGCATGAAATTTCAGTTCTAAAGGTATTAGCCAAATTAAAATTTTCGCTAGCCACTATTTTCATGGAAAATCTGAATAATTTTTTAATTGTTAGCAGATGTAATATGAATAACATTTTGATGATCAAAATTATAGAAGAATATAGATTGTAAAATAGAAACTTATTTATTGCAAAGTAATGATATTTGCTTAAAATAGGATTTCTATGAGATCTCAGGGGTTTTAATATTATCCACATATCAATAGAAAGTCATTAAAATAAGAAAAATATCAGACATGTTCTCATACTTTGAACACTTCATATTTGACATAACACTGTCACTCTCAATTTCAGCCCTGCTGGCTGCAATTGAGAGAATTGCGAGCAAATTTCGCTCTTTGACATAGGGTAGCTTTGAAAAGTAACCATAACAGAAAATATTTGTTTTTTAACCAGACTAATTTTAAACATTGGAATACTGTTAAAGGCACCAAATTTCTAAAAAGCTAGCCATTTTTTTTAGCAAATTAGGTTTGATTAAATACTTTTTTTCTTAACTGCCAAAAAAAAGGTTAATATAGCATATATGATAAAAGTTTAGATTAATAGGAACATTTACGGTTAATAAAAAAAAAATAAAAATAAAAAAAAACAAAACAATTATGTCTGCCTGAAAGTTTTAAGCCCTTAATTAAATCCTTGAATTTAAGCCTTTGTATTTTATAAATATTGTAATGAAGAGCATAAAATATTTTTTAATTTAATAATAGTTTCTGATTAGATTAACATGATTACGTTTTATTCCATTATTTACGTAATATGTTCCAAACAAATAACTATTTATACCTGAGAAAATAAATCTTTTAAAAAAAAGGAATAATTACTGTAAAATTCTCAAAATGCATAGTTAATAGTTGGTGGATTAAAATTTTGACTTTTGCTAACTTGCTAGACAGTTTTTTATCACTGATACCAACAATAATTATTATATGTTTTTTCAAAAATATGACGTTAATTTCTTTATTAAATTAATTATGAAAAATTATTTCACTAATAGTTTGAAAAAAATGAAAAATCTAAAATCTAATTATGAATAATATTACAATTTACTCAGTTATTAATTGCATTTAAATTCTCAGTAAATTTTCTTATAAAATGGACCATCTTACGAAACAGATTAAAAATTAAATTTGCCAATAGTGTACAAATTTACTGTTTTATTACTATTTATACATTGTAATTTTTTTACTGTATATTCTAATATTTACATTAAAATGTAATACATAGGTACATAATTGATCTATACCAATTTTAACCATTATAAAATGAATGTAGAATATTTCGTAGATTACAATTAACACATGCTGGCATGACATTTAACTATCTATAAATTGACTTTCTGAAATATTAAACGAAAAAATTCGTAGTGCAAAAAAATCGAATTAAATATAATTTTTATTTCTAAAATTTCTAACTTGCGTCTTAAATTTTAAATAATAATAAAATCTGAATCAGAGATAATTATCATAAATAGAAATCATATTCTAAATAGCGTTAATTAAATCCCCTATATAGGAATGGAATGCATACACCTGTTTCATAACACCAGATGTTAATGAAATCAATTATTCTTAACTTTAACCAGTAATCAAAAATTCATGCGCTGAACCGCACTGCGCGTACTAGTCTCGGAGCATGTGATTTGATCTGAAGAACTACTTACCGAATCAACTCACGTTGAAGGATAAATAACGCTGTCCTCGACTTCGCGTCGATATGGAGTAACGTAAAATCCGAAAAGATGCACACACTTTTACACACAGTTAGTAATATCGTGCAACATCGCAAATTTATTCGAAATCTACAACAGAATGATGCACTCGAACATAGAAAACAAATTTGAGAAGCGTATGCTTAGTAAAAATAAAAACACAGCCAAAATCCAGGGATTAGTTCAACTATCATTCCGTCAAAGATCACTTTTGCAGAGCAAGGTTTTTTCTTGAGTTGGGGAGCTGCTGAGTTTGTGTGTGTACGATTTCGGAGACAACTTGAGGTTGCTATAACAACCGCGCCAAATGTTCGCCAACTAATTGGCGTTTTTTAGTGAATGGTTTTTAGATGGGTTAATAAAATAAAATAGATACTTCTGATTTTTTTTTATTTGCTAAAGATATTTTAATTAGGTTTGGAGGCGATATATATATTTCACAGATACATTTCATACATGGCATTTTAAAGACGGAGAAGGAATAAACTTCTCCGTCAAAACAATAAAAACGAAAGAAAAAAATAATAATACAAAAAGCGTGTTGAACTGGTGCAAAATTTTCATTAATTTTATTTATTTATTTGAAGAACATGAGAATTTCCTGTAATGTCATTTAAATAAATAAAATATGCAAGATTGAAATCATTTAGCCATTCACGTAAACTCAAACCCCTAATATAGAACCCCCCCCCCAAAAAAAAAAAAATTATTATTTTTTGCTTGCATTAAATTAATTTTTTTTTTAAAAAATCATATTAGGAATAATCTACGATTATAATACTAATTTGACTTCACCGTGTAAAAAAAATTCGATGTGCAATAAAAAAATCTTTAAAGAAATAGAAGAAAGAAACGGTGAGAAAAGTGACGGCTTGCTTTTTTAAGTCGTCACTTCCTTTTTGTTACTCGCCACGTGGCGAGTTATTATATACAGGTTTATCCTACGATATTCGAAAATTTTAATTAATTAAAAATAAATTATTTCGGATAATCATTACAATGCTTAGTCAGATTTTTATTTAGATTTTATATAGAAGAAAGAGCTTTAAAGCTCTTTAATATTTTCATTGAATTTTTTGCTTCCTCTAATTTAAAAAGAATTAGGTTAGGTCCCAATATTAGTGAATGTTTATTTGCCATTTTTTAATAATGTAACTACAATTTCGCCCCTATGATTATTCAACGCCAGTTAAATATAGCTCGGATTTTAGGGCAGCTAAGTAAAGAGTAAAATTTTGTTCTATATTTTATTATCATCATTATTATTTAATAATATTTCAGTATTCTGCTTGGAGGTCGTTTAAATATTGTCTAAGAATATTTTTGGTGATTTTGAAACACTCTCACCTTGTCAGCAAAATATAAGTAAATTGAAAACTCACTCCTTTTAAATTATTTTGTGTTATGAAAACGAGCTCCATGTTATTTTTTTCCTTCAATAAAATAGTAACCTACCTTTTTTTTTGCTGCTAAATTTTTAGAGTAATTTTATAGTTCTTTCTTGACAGAAACTGACATAAATTATTACATATGTTTTCTATAAATAATCCCAATAGTCTAAATATTGTAAGACTCGCTACTCTGTAGATCACCGAAGTCAAGCATTATTAGCTGCGGTCAGTGAGGAGGTGGGGGGGGGGTAATCACTTCGATCACCCTTCGAAGGGGCTGAGGGTGCGCTGTATTGGTCTTTGTTAAGGTCAGTGATTGCTTAGCAATTTTGATAATTTTCATTTAAATGAAAAAATATAGCCAAATTGGCGATTTTTAAAAAAGTTTAATAACTTTTAAAATATTTTAGTTATATCTCCGTTCTATGGCCCAGATAATTCTTAATGACAAGATGATATACATATAGTTTAAAGTAATCGCTTTGCTTCAACTGCAAGTCACTTAAACTGTAAATTTTTTATTTTCCTTGATTATTAACAGGAATACAAGACAATTTCGGAATAATGAAATTTCAATAATTATTTAAGAATAATAGAATTTATGACATTAATAGCAATTTCATGACATTCAGATTCAAGGCATATTAGCCAATTAAAAATCTGTATTGTTCTTAGCTGATCAGTTTTTTCAAAACAACAAAGTATAATTATCGACCAACTGTGGATAGATAATCATGTTTTGTTGTTTCAAAGAACATCAACTTTAGCCCAATTTCATTCACTAACATTGTTTTCTCCTACTAATCACGACAGTTTATTCATTTATTATAAAATTGTAAAGGTGATTACTTTTTTTCATAAGTGATTGCTTTCTCGTAGAAGTGATAACTTTATTATACTATTTTCTCCTACTATGACGACCTTTTATTTATTCATTTTAAAATTGTAAAGTGATTATTTTTTTGAATTTTTACGAGTTTGTATAATATTTTGTGAAAAAATAGTTATATTTAAGAGCTAAATTTGAAGATAAACATATTATTTGCAAGATCTATTTCAATATACAGAATATTACCGTAAAAAATTCTTGAGACAACGAAAAGCATGAAAAAACAAGTATAAGTAAATCGCAGAATTGGAGAATCATGGAATAAAAATTTAAATTAGCAATTAGGTAAATCAGTGAATCAGTTTATAAATCAATAGAAAAGTTTTTAAACCTACAATTTGTTGTGTGACTGTCAGTAACTACTTTTTATTATCATTTGCTTTATAAATTTAGTTTGTTTTAGACTACTAATTTTTGTTTTCGAACAATAAATATGAACATCAAACGAAAGAGCGATAAGTAGCCAAATTTGGAATGCCAAGCGTTATAAACTTGATAATCTAAGCTTACTTTTTTCTCCAATGGTTGTAGCTGGAGCGTTTTCACCCGGTTCTTTCGTAAACAGAGATGGGGAAGAAAAAGGGGAAAAAAATAAGAGAAAGCAAAAGAGAGAAGATGGATGAAAAAAAAGTGTCCCGGGGATGCGAGGGGTAAATGGATGACTGGGGTTGGAGAGAAGATTTGTGGTGGTCATCTGCAAGGTCATCTACAACATTTTGTGAAAGTTTCAAATGGCTATAAATGGGGGTTTGAAATTGCTAGAAGAGTAATTAAGAAACTATTGAGAACCATTTTAATTTATGAAAAAATTAATCTATTTTGCTGCACTGATTAAAAGTAATAATAATAAGTTATGTTTATTTTATTGAAGAGTCACAGAACAAAATGTTTTTTGTTTTTGTTTTTAAATAAAAGAAAGAAAAAACTGTCGCATGTTTTTCCATCGTATGTCGGGAACTTCTGCACGTGAACTAAAAAATGCGCCATAAAAATTCTGCAATAACTACAAGTATTAAAGAGACGATGTGACTATAGTATTTAATTATCGGGATTTCTTATTTAATTTAAATGTAAGATAATCTATTAGTAGTCATATTTACAGTCGGATGTTTGTAAGCGTGACACGTGAATTGAAAAAAATGGTGTAGGGACAGAAATTCAGGTGTGGCTGGAGTTGCATGTTATAATTGATTACTTGAAGATTGTGATGAATAAACAGGATGATGAGGAAATGACATTTGAAGATGAAAACTGGATCATAAGTAATAAAACTTTTATTTAGTAATATTTGAAGAGCTCGAGTTACAAAATTATATTATTTTTATCATAAGACTAAATTATATCATAAGACAAAATTAAATTATATCATAAGACAAAATTAAATTATATCATAAGACTTCAAGTTAAATAAATTATACAAAATAATATTAATAAGGACAGGCCATAGGAGACAAATCCCCCATGACCTGCGTAATCAAAAAGTAATTGAAATGTTCTCAACAGACCTTTAGAATCACGTGAAGAGATCCATTGTTGGTGATTTATTGAAAAATAATATAGCCAAGAATAAAGCCAACCCCCCATAATCAATATTAGGTTTGAAAAATACCTTGTCGATCGCGAATCGCCAACAAGACTTTGAGAATTATTATAACCATGTAACTGAAGCCTATTTGTGGTAAGAAATTTAAGAATAAAGAGTTATAAATAGATTTTTGTTCGATTAGGCGCAACAGTAAATTAATGAGTCTACATTAATATTGAAATAAAAAGTTAGCCTTTGCATTGATCGATAAGAAAGAATAAAATATTTTATGTTCATTTTTAATAAAAAAAACTAATTGATTTAAGTATATGTAATTCGATTAATAAAATAAGTTTAAGTAATTTAAGATATTTTAAAAGGTAGGAAATATATATGTAATGCCAATTGTGGCATCACAAATGGGTCACAAGAATTTTGCAGCTATGCTAGGTATCCATTCCATAGGGATTTATTCTTTCTTATATAGACTCTATGGATAGTCACAGGACCTCCCAAGGGGCTGCTGGGAAAATAACCTGAAGTTCCAGGAAACTAATATTTGTAATAGAATAGCAATACTTTCCAGCAAAGTATATAGGGGTGAGAAGGCATACCTCCATATTCTGGAGATAGAGCCTTAGACGTCGTGGGTGAAGGATCTCTTATATCCTAGCTCCCACAAGAAGCGTTCCTGCGCGGATACCCCGTACCTTACACGGCCTCCGCGACGAAGTAGACGGCGTGCTCGGTGACTCCTTAGGCCTGGCGACCTGAACTGAGAGTAGGGCGTCAGTGCATTCATTAGATTGCTGCAGTGCTCCGAATCGAGAGTAGGACGCTGCAGTATTTCTACACAGTTCCAGAGCTTTTTTTAAGCTTTCCTGTTTTTTATTTTTTTGTGACCTGAGTGGTAATGTATTGACCAAACAGCAGTGGAAACCTTAAGCCTTAATTGCTGCCCGGTGTCAACGAAGCTGCTGGGAGGTGTTTATCTTCCTCTGGGTTGGGCCAGTAGATATTAGCTTGACTCCACATGAATAGTTATGATAGGGATTTAAATTTAAATTCGAATAATGTCTTAAATTTAGATAAGCAATTAAATCCGCCAGACTTAGAATCCCCCGGCATGGAAGTGTCGGAAATTGAGTCCGCAAAAGGCCCTTTTGAGGGCCACAAAACAAATGATGCGATTCCGATCGGCACTTCCAGTACCGACGGTAAACTTAGATTTAAGATTGGAAAGGAACAAAATTCCGTAGAACTAGTACCCCCAAGTGAGGACTGCGAATTAAGCGATCTAAAAAACGGAGTAAACCAAATTACGAGCTATCTCACTTCTCAATCAAATGATGAGATGCATAACTCAATTATAGGCCTACTAAACGGCTACATAAATAAACTACTAACTGATAATGAAAATATCATGTTAAAGTTAGAAAAGATCGAAAAAGAAAACAAAGATCTAAACGAT